AGGAGAGGTTCAGAGCTAGGGATTTATGGGTTCTGGCCAGAGTTATCATCTAGTCGATCCTAAAACCTAGTTGGCTTGTGAGTCTCTCCCTTGGTTACTATGTGATGGATATCTTTCCTTCTCCCTTATTCACTCCTTCTCACTCTCTTGCAACATACAAACACCTCTCAACCAACACACTGACTGTGAACTGAACTCCCCTATCTGAGAATCCATGTTAGGTGCTGTATACAACATGATGTACCAGGGGTGGGATACTGTCAACACAAAAGTTTGTTTTAGCTCTAGCTTAGAATACGGGAATACCTTGTTTGGATAACAGAAGTCACTCATTTCAGAGGGAAATCAGAGATATCTAGAACTTTCTATACCCTGGCAAGGATTTCCAACCTCTCAGAATTTTTTTCGTCCTTTCATATGATCAGAAAGAACCATTCTGTCCTTGGGCTCAATAATTAATAATTGGACTAAATTAAATTATTTTCCCATAGGAAGAATCAGATTATTTTTTCTCTAATATTGCCTACTCTCAATATAATTAGATCAGTAGATTTGGTTCACAAACGACAGTCTCAATTATAGCACAGCTTTCAGTGAATTTTTATTGTAGAAAACTTGAAACATGATTAGCAGTCTTCGTTCTCAGGTAGAAATTCCTCAATTTATGTGCTAAAATTTGTACAAAATGTCCTTTGTAGGTGTATGAGGTTAGGATGCAAACCTGTGGGAAATATATTTCTCATGCATGGAGAGATGTCTCTCTTCCTTGGCTGTCTCAATTTTCCATCCCTTTCCTAAGTTAGGAACAATGGAATTCAGATAGGGGTAGGGATTACAACACTAATGATTACAAAGGACATTACCAAATTTGGGTGAGAGAGGCAACATCTAAATTCACCAATTAAGCTTTTAGGAGAGTACTTCAGGAAAAAAATCTAAAAGTGGTTATGAAAAATAAATATGAGGCAGATAGGGACTTTTCATCCTCTGTGTTACAATTGCACAGATAAGGCCTTACTGACATTGAGTATGAACAATTTAATCTATCATAAAAGCCGAATTAAAGACTGAAAAAATTTAGAATCATCAATTCAAAATAATAACTACTCGAAAAGTTTCTTTTGATTCAGAATGCTTTATACATATACATATATATAAACTGAATAAAATCTAATTGAAGCAAAAATCTTATTTTAATATATGTTTAAATAAAATAAAAATTTACCTTTACTCAAATAACAAAGGCAATCCTAAAACTAGTCAAGTTTTGTCAGGCTATCCATTGTTTAATGGTCTAATTAGTAAATAAAGGCATGCTATTAGAATACATTTATATGCTTCATGTCAGTTTTATCAGGTTCTTCATTAAATATTGTTTTGGCTTTAAGAAAAGTAAGTTCTATTTGCAATTTTGAAATCATTGCTACTTTGGCTAAATGGGTGATCAAAATCATTTCATAATAATCTGTGTGTTCCAAACCTTTAAATACTTGGAACTAAGTTTTATAGAAGTCAAAATTCTAGGAAAAATGAGTGATAAAAATTTTAATTGCTTAAAGGAAAAGTAAATATGGGCACGTTTTTGAAACGTTCCTAGATCATCCATCATAATCACATTTCCCGCCTCTGAAAAACAAAATGCCTAGTTGTTTGTTAAAACTTCACAGGGGCAAAATTTGCTTGGATTCCCAGTCCTGGCTGAGACCTCGAAGACAATCTTCAGAGGGGGACAGGCTGTCTTGTTCTATCAAAGCTCAGGCAGTGGAAATCATATCCAGCAACGACGGCTGTGCCTCTGGCCAAACCCGTCACCTCACAGCTGAGCACCACAGACACTAACCTACTGAAGGTTACAGGTACACTGGGTTATTTGGGGCTGAAAATTCCAGGACGTCTCAGAGTTAGGGTGAGTGAACCCCCCCACCATCTACCCATACTTCTAGAAGCACCGACAACCACATCCACACTCCACTACTGCTGCCATGTAAGCTCATCTACTGGTCCTGTTCCCTAGACTCATAAATAAATCTCAAAGAGATGAACTAGCAGTAAAAATTTCACAGATACCCAGTCACAGCTAAGACCACTGGGGTGATCTGTGGAGGGAGTCAGGCCAAGTTTTCACTCTACAAAAGCCCTGGCAACTGCACTCAAACCCCAACAGATGCTGCCATATCTAGGGTCAGTCAGCAAAGTTGAATATTCTGGATTTTCTGGAGCTGCATGTCCACACTTCACAGCCCTAACATTCCAGTAGGAACACATCAGATTGGATGGGAATGTAACATAGAAGCCAACTAATCTCAATAAACAAACAAAAAAACACAGAAAGCTTAACTTGCAACAATAGCTTATTAAACCCTCATATAAGGACTTAATGTTCCCATGGTTATATACACTTATCACAAATTTTCTTGCACTAGAATATCTTTTGATCATCCCATTAGCCATTTAATATATAAAGCCATATATTATGGACTTGCTCAAGGGCAGGCTTGATGAGTGGTGGGGGAAAAAAAGACACATATTTTGGTAAAATCACAATGTGGAACAAATATCCTTGCCAGCTGTGTTGAAAGAAAATCTTTAAGAGTGAGCTTTCGAAAGCCTTCTACCATTAGTAGTGTTCTTCTAGTGCTTTGTGTTCAGAGAGGTCTTCGGGAAAAGATTTTAACAAGTACTCTAGACTATCCAGGGTGCTTACAAAGTATGGGCTCCAGTTCTCTGAGCCATTTCCCTGCCTCTCCCAAGCTTTATTTCTCTTTATTCCATCTATGAGTAAGAACACCCAGAACCTGTTCTCCTTCTGACTCAATTCACTTAATAGGACAGCCTCTAGTTGTATCCAAGTTGAGGCCAAATGCAAGATTTCATCTTTTCCTATTGCTGAGCTGTATTTATTGTGCATATAAATGATTTCTTTATCCACTCATCTGTTATTGGGCACCTGAGCTGTTTCCAGATTTTGGCTATTGTTAATAATACTGCAGTAAATGCAGGAATCTTCTCTGGGTAGTGTGGAAAGAAAACAGATGTCTTTCTGTTTTTTAATTTTATCTTATTCTTTGGGCTGGAGTGATTGCTCAGTGGTAGGGCATTTGCCTTGTGCACATCCAGCCCAGACGAGCCAGGTTTGATTCCTTTGCCACTCTCAAAGAGCCCGGCAAGTTACCGAGAGTGTCTCGCCTGCACGGCAAAGCCTGGCAAGCTCCCCGTAATGTATTTATTTTATATGCTAAACACAGTAACAACAAGTCTTACAATGGAGATGTTACTGTGCCCGCTCGAGCAAATTGATGAACAATGGGAGGACAGTGCTACAGTGCTACTCCAGACTATAGATTTGTCATAGAAAAGTACAGACTTGATGGAAAAACTGGAGACTTAAACATTACAAAAATATAAAATTTCTTTATAGGGATGAATGGACTATTGCAAGGTAATGTGATTTTTGTTGTTAAAACCAAATGCCTTAGAGATTTAATAACATAATCTTGTTGAACCTATAAACATATAGGTAAATTGTATCTTATTGCAAATAAATCTATAACATTTGTTTCTCTCTCTTCCTGACACCTCTTAGTAAATATTTTAGTTCACTTCCTGGTATTGTATTTATTTGCATATGTCCTGAAAGGAACCTTTTCTCACTGGAGAATGGTGTCTCTCAAATCTGGACAACCTCTTATCTTGTTTACTCCCTGTGGCCCTGTGTTACAGTTTGTTTCCTTGTTTCATACATGGCCTCATTTTCATAATTTTCATCAGTGGCTCCTTTGGAATATCCTGAGGGTCCATTGGTTGGGTGCATAATACTCCCGGTTGAAAAATTGCTCCTAAAAGCTTTGCCCCTAATACAGAGAGAAATTTTTAAAAGCCAGCAATTGGATGTTGGAGCCCTCTAGATGAATTTAACTGACAAGAAGTCACACATAACAAGTAAATTTATGAATGACTTGTGTCTTCAGTGAAACCTTAAATGGTGGGCTAACTTGAGAAATAAAACTGGTCTTCTCTGTAAAAGAAGACTGATTTACAGCTACAGTCTGCACCCAAATTTCAGCACAGAGAAAAGTCCTTGACCCAGAATTTCTCCCAGCCCTAGAAGTGAGTGGGATGGATTGCTGCATACCAGGCTCACTGCAGTAAACTATTTGTCACGTCAGATTAAGCCTGGAGTAAACATTGATATGACAAGTGAAAATATTGATTCCTTAATTACCGCAAGTCACATACCCTGTCCTTAACCAGTCCCCAGGACTCCTTTTAGCAAAATAATGGGGTACCCACATTAAAACATATCCTGTATACTCTTACTATACTTATGCAAATTAACTAGCCAAGTTTATTTCAATTAATTTAGCCTATTGCTAAGACCATTTGGTAAATTAATGGTGACAATGGAGAGGAAAATGTGCCTATTTGTGAAGATCAGATTCTTATCCTCGTAATAATTTTTTTTAAAAAAAAAAACTTTTGCTCTTTTGTTTTTTTTTACTTCTTTGATCCGTTTGCTTGCCAAGGGTTTGAATCATTGAGATACCTCTAGCTTCAATGTCATGAAATTTTCTACCTATGTTTTCCTCAATGGCGATTGACTCGAGCAGGCCACAGTAACATCTCCTTCGTCCTAGCCCTGAGATTTTTTTAAAACGTGCCATATTCAAGGCTCTTTCAGGGTTAGGAGAAAGAGACCCATCATTGTTACTGGTATTTGGCATATTGGGTACACCACGGGGAGTTTGCCAGACTCTGCCGTGTGGGCAGGTTACATTTGGTAGCCTGCCAGTTTGTCCAAAGTAGGAATGAGATAATAAGATGTCATACGGCCTCCTCCAATGCGGCCGCGCGCTTCCAGGAGCTGGGTTTTATAGTCTCTGAGTCTTGGCCGTTGATGGGATTACATGGTGCCAGGGGGCCAGTTGGTAGGTGTGACCCCTGCCTACTGGAATTTGGAGGATCTGGGTGGAGGATGCTCAGCCCCAATCCGAGCAGGCTTGGAGATCTTTGGCAGCACATATACTAAAATTGGAACGATACAGAGAAGATTAGCATGGCCCCTGCACATTCCTCAATGTAATTTATGAATTAAGCCATGATATCAAAACGTTTTGATCTACATCAAACTAAGAAGCTTCTGCACAACAAAGGAAATGATGACCAAGGGAAGAAAGACATTCCACAGTCTAGGAGGGGATATTTGCCAACCACTCATCAGATAATGGATATCCAAGATATATAAAGCACTAGTAGGACTCTACCAAAAAGAACCATACAAGTAGGGGGAAGAGGGAAGAGGTTTAGAGAAGATTGGGTGCTAACTTTGCATGTGACTGAACTGAACTGGTTTCATCCCAGTATCTTGTATGGTCTCCAAAGCACTTCCAGGAGTGATTTCTGATTACAGAGCCAGGCATAACTTCTGAGCAATGACACGTGTGGCCTGAGAAACCAAATAAAAATGGGAGGGAGAGATGAACAAAATATTGCTCAAATAAAAGATGCAGATGGCAAAAATGTATATAGAAAATATCCCCTGCATCACTTATCACCAGGAAAATGAAAATCAAAACAGCAATGTGTTATCACCTCACATGAGTGCGACAGGCACATATCACAAGGGAGAGAAAACAGTGTTGGTATGGATGTAGGGAAAAAAGATGCCCTCATTTAATGTTGGTGGGACTATTGACTGGTCTGACCTTTTTGGAAATTAATAGGACAAATAAAATAAAAATTAGGAATTGGGTATCCTTATGGCCCAGCAATTCCATTCCTTGCAAAAGAAACTCAAGGGTTCAAAAACTCAATTTCTAATAACTACCTGTGCTCCTATATCCATTGCAGTGCTATTTACAATAGTCAATATTTAGAAACAACCCAATGATCAAGAATAGATGATTGGATAGAGAAACTGTGGTACATATACACAATAGAATACTATGTGGTTGTAAGAAAAAGTGACCTTATATAATGAGCCATCATGTGGATCGAGCTGGAGAGTATCATGCTGAGTTAGAAAGAGAGGAACAGACTGAATGATATCCCTCAGATGTGGTATATGAAGAAACAGAATACAGGAATAACAAATGCTCAAAGTCATCTGAAACTGAGAATGTGTCTTCAGTAGAAGTTTACCATGGTGGTGTCATGAAGAGTGGAGTGGACCCTGGGACAAGAGTAGACATCTGAGCAGAGGATGTGGCACTTGAATTGTTCATGTAGGAAATCCTAATAACAGTTTGTAAACCCCAGTGCACCAAATAGTAGCACTGTAGTACTGTCCTCCTGTTGTTCATCGATTTGCTCGAGCGGGCCCAGTAACATCTCCATTGTGAACCTTGTTGTTACTGTTTTTTTTTTTATTGTTGTTGTTGCTATTTTTGGCATATCGAATACGTCACGGGTAGCTTGCCAGGCTTTGGAGTGCGGGTGGAATACTCTCATAGCTTGCAAGGCTCTCCAAGAGGGGTGGAGGAATCAAACCCAGGTCGGCAGGTGCAAGGCAAACGCCCTACCCGCTATGCTATCACTCTGGCCCACACCAAATAGTAAACAAATAAAAACCTTTACTCTTTACTTAAATTTATAAAAGACCACCAATTGTTTTTTTATGTGAACAGCTATTTAATTTCAACTCCAATTTTGGCAATAGCTAACCTAAGAAAATACATAACAGAGAGAATTGAAACAGTACACATGCTGGTATTTGTCTCCACAGGACAATGAAAGCCAGAGTTTTATCAAGGGCAACTTTAGCTCAAAAGGAAAAGTTAATTTTCCTCACTCCACACTGACAGCTGGTAGAAGGACTCAGAGTAAATGCCTACCTTGACTCCAGACTGCAAATCTCTGGGTTGCAGAGACACTGTTCTGACTACATCAAGTTGGAGTCGCTTAGAAAAGAGACCTGTGCTCTCATTCCAAACACAGTACACAGTGATAGCTTCATTATCCCCACCCACTGACTTATATCTTGGGAAGATGTAAAGTAAATAATAAGAGCACAAGTAAATGTCTACATAAAGAGATTGCTCAGAGATGTTCCTCTAACTTTGGAACCTAATAACGGGACTCAAGACTTTCACCTTTTTCAGGGTCACTGGTCTTGATCATAACTCCCCTGTTTTAGTCCATGCCTAATTAATTCACAAAGAGTTTTGTCTTACAGAGACATCTTACTATGATGATCCTCTCTCAGAACAAGATGGGATCCTCCAACTGAAATTTCTGTGTCAATGGGGTGAGAGTTTTGCTTCCTTCATTGGGCAGAAATGATTGAGCCTTAAGTGGCAGCAAATAATTCCTCATCCTTTAGCATCACATAAGATATATAGAGCAACAAATGGCACGGGTGATTGGTTAGGCAGCAGTAAAATCAGGAAACTGTAACCAGAAGATATGAAGAGAGTCCTGAAAATGCATGAGGCTCAAGTTAGGGTAAAAGAGATGTTCCCAGGGGAGACTGGAGTGATAGCACAATGGGTAGAGTGTTTCCCTTGCACCTTTGAACCAGGTTCGATTCCCAGCATCCCATATGGTTGCCTGAGTACTGCCAGGAGTAATTCCTGAGTGCAGAGCTAGGAGTAACCCTGTGCATCGCCTGATGTGACCCAAAAAAGAAAAAAAATGTTCCCAGAAAGGACTCCCAAATGTTGATCAAGTAGAATCCAATAGTGAAACCTGAGTGGCCTGAGTACTGAAGAGAAACCATCCCACACCTGACTGAAAAATGTCTCATAAGCTGAATCCCAAATTGATGGCCTCTTGTGGAGGAACCTCCCATCTATGAGAGAATATGGGGCAACAAAGTGTTTTTACTGCTCTAGGCAAAGATCTCACACTTTTCGTGAGCATTATATTTCCTTAACATATTTATTTTGTATAGAATACTCTCAGGGCAATGGCAAGGGATTGTTCTTGACCAAGACTCCATCAGTAATAAAAAAGATAAATTAGAAGAAATGAAAAAAAAGGTTCAATCTCTATGCGTGGATGAGACCCAGGGAAACTGGATAACTCCCTGAAATTATCTAGATTGCTGACTTAAAGTCTTAGCCAACGGCAAAGATGTTGGAGAGAGGCCTGGATTGGGAGGTCAGCAGGAAAGACACAGCAAACAATGGTATGGTTGTTAGAAAGATGTACATCGTGGCCTTTTTGGATAAAAGTTTTTACAGATTTGGCATGCTCTTCAAGTTTATGTTCTCCCTTGAACACTTATCTCTCTTGCTTGTCTCTATGTATCTCTACTTGCTTGCTTTTCCCAGCTCTGAAAAAGTCCTTATTCTCTCTCTAAAACACTACTCCCTCCCTCCCTTTCTCCTCACATCTACGTTTTGTTCAGTAAAAGCTATTTTTTTTGCTTCACTAAAAAGCATTTCTTGTGATTTGATCTCCACTCTTAATAGGTCATAGTCATTGCATCCCATTTCCTCATAATGTCCGTGAGAATATAATAATCCCAGCCACCTGGAACAATGTGACCTGCTTTCTTCATATTCTGTTTTTATTATAGGTCAATGAAGTGAGCACTTAAGTCTTAAGTTTAAAGTGGGAATTTGCTCTAATGTGGTTTCTATTTTTCTGGTTTTCCCTTTGTGTTCTGTTTTTCAAAATCAACCAGCTCAAGGCTGTGGAGATAGCTCAAAGACTGGAGCACATGTCTAGTATGAAGGAGCCCCGAGTTCTATCCCTGGCACCACTTTTCTTCATGAGTGTATTTAGACCCAACAAATACAATAACCATCTCAAAATAATCCTTATATCAAGGAAATGTTTCAGAAGTAGCAATATTTTATCTACTCTACACTTGATTTTTCTAGAAGGGAACATAAAAGGAGGTATGTATTATTCACATACTATGGATTTTTTAGTATCATGCCAGAAAAATCCATAATATGTGAACAATACTCAAAGATAGTAGAAAGCGTCAGGAGGACTGGCCCATGATAGGAAGCATGCCACCAAAGGGGAGGTGGATGTCGTTAGTAGAAAGAAGAGACCACTATGACAAATGATAGTTGGAAACAATCGCTCTGGACAAAAACTGATTGCAGATAGGAGGGAGAATGATATGCATGATACCCTTTCTTTCAGTAACAGCATTACAAACCACAGTGCCTAAAAGGAAAATGAGATGGAGGAAGAGAGAGAGAGAGAGAGAGAGAGAGAGAGAGAGAGAGAGAGAGAGACACAGAGAGACAGAGAGAGTCAGAGAAAGACAGAGACAGAGAAAGACAGAGACAGAGAAAGACAGAGACAGAGAGACAGAAAGACAAAGACAGAGACAGAAACAGGGAGAAGTGTCTGCCATTGAGGCAGGCAGGAGGGAAACTGGGAACATTGGTGGTGGAAAAAGTGCACTAGTGAAGGTATGTATGTTGGAGCATTGTGTGTCTGAGACTCAGTCATGAATAACTTTGTAACTGTGTAACTCATGGTGATTAAATTAAGAAAAGATTTTTTAAAGTATGTTTTATTTTATTTTTTAAAAAAAATTATTAGTGAAGCACCATGAGGTACAGTTGTAGACTTACAAATTTTGGTGCTTGGGTTTCAGTTATACAATGATCAAGTACCCATCCCTCCACCAGTGCCCATCCTCCACCACCACAGATCCCAGTATCCCTCCTACCCCCCCCAACCCCCCATAATGTATGTTTTAAATTTAATGGACAAAACTCTGGGGGGAAAGAATGTTATGTCTTATAGAAAAAATATTTGAAACACAATATTTTTCTCTGAAATTAAGTATAACTTCAGATGAGAGAAAAGAGGCAATAAGACAAGTAAAGATTTTCCTGATAATAGACAGCAATGAGAAGCCACTGGAATAAGTGTTTATAAAGTCACAGCCTAACAGACTTAATCAAGCATAACTTTTGGGTCTTAAGCATAGCAAACAATGTGAAGCAAAAAACAAAAACAAACTTATCTGGAGAAAATAGAGTCTCAGATTTAATCTAACATGGAATCAAGATCTAATCAATTTGGACATAGTGGACACATTCATTAAAAACCATCTAAAACAATGAACAAATCTTAAACTTTAATATTTCTATAAACACTAAGAACAATTATTTAACCATATAATTAAGTAG